CTAAGAACATATATATATACATATATATATATCTATATATATATACTGTATATATATTCTGAAAAAAGTGTCTGTAAGCGACAGATTATTGACTTGATTTTGTTGACTTGCAACAGTTAATTTTCAAGATTACATCATTGTTTTCTTATCCATAGAACGGAGGATAGAGAGGGGAGTAAACTACCCTATCCAGATTATAAAAGGTCTAATTTTATGTCTCATTTTATGATAAAAAAAAATTAATCCACTTTTATAAAATACATCAGCATTATTTTTAAAAATGTTATTACCTTTAGATGTTAGAGCACTCGCCACTTGCAATTAAGTTGCTACATCATGGCAATAGTGTCTGGCTCTTGCTCTTCTTAGGCATTCTGTATTTCAGTATTATGATTTTCAAGAAATGTAAAATTATTCCTTTGGTTTGCTGTTACTGTATTTCCCAAACACTTTAAAGATTGGTTTCCATAAAAATCGCTACAAGTTCCCGATTGCGTTGGGGACAGATACGCATTGCAAAAATTGCATTGGAAATGCGGCTGTCGTGACTGTGTAGCGATTCTATTGAAACCAAGCTTTGAAGGAGCGTTCCCGATTGCGACGGGGGACAGCTACGCAGAGTGCAAAAGGATTGCAGTGAAAAAGCTGTAGTGACTTTGTAGAGATTCTATGGAAACCAGACTTTATAACGTTCTGTTTACATAACGGCTTGAGGATCATTTTATTACATCACACTGTCATAAAAATCAAAAGTACACATTAACATCACGGAAAGACAAACAACAAAAGACCAAAAAATCTTTCGTCTGTCAAGTGTTGAAAATGTTTACGGTAATAGAATTAGTGATAAAGTGCGTGAAAAATGATCATTCCGACCGCCCTGTATTTTGTAACTATTTGTCAAAGTTTGTTTTCTTCATACGGAATAAAGACATTAAATTATATTTAAATATCATGGTTCTGGTTCAGGAAGTAGCCTACATTTTCTTGGAGATTTTAAGATTTTATTTCAGCTAATAACACTACTGTAGCCTTACATAAAAAGCAATGTAAATAAGTGGAGGTGGTAGTTTTGTTTTACAATTTATATAAAGCGAACGGCGCAGTTGGACACTCGTAGTCGTGTGATAATTTTGTCCGAGGTTATTTCACAAGCTGGGTATACTTAGTGTAATTTTCTTGGAAAATTAAATTAATTTTATATTACATATTTTATTTTTGTCTTTTAAAATAACGTGTGCATAGATTTTTAATGTTATTCGTTTAGTTTGTTATTTTCTATTTCGAAACATCTACTCATCATGTAAGTATTACATCTCTTATTCGTTTTTTAAATATCACTACCCTTTCCATTCATATTGAAAGTTAATATTTTTAAAATTATTTTTCTTTATAAGTTTAATGTCTTGTATTTTTGTTTGCATCGTTATCTTTACCTTTTTACACCTTACCCAAGTGTAGATCCCTTTAATTACGCAATTGTAACTACTGAGGGCGCCCTTTACTAATTGTCAGTTTGCCAAAACCATATCTTCCCCAAATCCGTTAAAGTACATATGATTAAACTTAATGTTAAAAATGTCATTTTCGGAGTAAGTAGATCTTCTAGAAAAATATTTGAATAAAAAAAAATTAATAAACCATTTATACATAGCAATATTGCTATTTCAAGATATACATTTGGTAAACATCCTATACATTAAGTCACAGTGGTCTGTGATTAAGTATTTTATACTCAAAACTAAACCTATGTAAAATCAATTTATAATAGATGTGATAGGCCTATCCTTTGTTCTGAATAACATGTAAAAAGTATTGGTAATTATATTTACTGCATAGGCTTCTTTAAAATTGTAAAAAAAAAAATGAATCAGAATTCTCTTTTAAATCAATGTGAAAGTGAGCAGCAATAAAAACTCCCAACTTGAGAGAGAGAGAGAGAAAAAAAAAAAACTTTTACAGCAAAACATTTAAGAAAAATATATTTGAAATTCAGAAAGGAGATTCCCAATATAGGATTTTTGAAAGTGTGCAACAGTCATCCGAGTATAAGATAATACAGTACCTGTATTAAGATGAGACCATTGGTAGTCCAATGCAGAATACAAATTACTACCATGTTGCTCATTGCTAATTCTTCATTATCCTACAAAAACAACTTTTTAACAACCAGGGGTGGCGCCAGTATTTTCCCGACGGGGTCTGATGTCTCAGACGGGGGACCGACTCTACGACGAGAGCGTAAATGCTTCGCTCAAAACATGGAGAAAATATATTCTTAAAATCTCTTAGGTGTGATCTATGGGGAGAATCCTCCAGAAAATATGACAAAGTAGGGTTTTCATAGGCTTATATAATCGAGTTTATGTTCTTATTATACAGTATCGAATTTTTTTTTTTTTCTTCTAACAAATTGTAATTGTTTTTCTCCTTAAAAAGGGACAGTTCTCATACTGTCTCTGGGGGGGGGGGTTGGGCCTCCCCTCTGCTCTCCACTGGCGCCATCCCAGGTAACACCCTATAAAACCGTGTCACAGGTATTAAATGGATAGGTGAATCTTGCTCGTCATGAACAAATACAGTACAGTAATTAATTCCATTGCTCAAGAATACAGCAAGATTAAATCAGAAACAGTAGGTTATAAATGTGAAGTGATAAGTCTGCATTGCTGGTTCGTCCATTATGGCAGAGGTTAAATTTTCACGGATTTAATAAGGAAATGCGTAGAGCAATGCTGATACTGGGGAGTTTCCGCAAGATTTCGAAAATGAACACCGTTACATCATCAAATTCTTAAACAACCATTTTACAATAGCACATGTCAGAATGTAAGGGATTCATGCCTTTTGCATGAATCAAGAACATATTCAACCCATACAGCACATTGTCAAGGATGTTTTAGCCACAAATGACGATAATGATAATGACGTGTTCATTTTCGTATTGCAAAATCTCCAGGGCTTGTCGTGCAAGTGCCATGACTGGGTTGTGGTATAGTTGGTGAAGTAGGTGGATGTCCAATTAAGCACCAACTTTTTTCAACAGCGTTATTTTATTTTTTAAGATTTGCTCTAGGAAACTTGCTTTGGTGACCCTATTAACCTATGTATATTTGTATATGGAAAAAGCAAATAAAAGTTAAGTTATGGTTAATACTTTGACATACTAGTAGTTAAAATGTGTAAAAATAAGTGTGAAGTGTATAGCTGAAGAAAACAAACTGAATAAGAAACTACAGTACCAGTGGAAATTAGTTGTACTTATTAATTCTATTAATAGGGAATACACGTACTCAAATGAACCAGGCCTAACATACTTCTACAAATAGAAGATTAAACAATTACATATATAGCAGAGTGATAGTAATAAAGTACTAATAAATAGCACAGGAAAAATGAACTGTCCCTTTGTGAAGCATGTAATACATAGCTAAAACTATGCCACATTATATTATATTAACATATTAGTGGCATCGGAACTATTTAAATATTGAATATAATTGTAAAATAATCCACTACCATAAAACATCCACAACAAAACACAAGCTGATATAACATTTATTTTTACATTTATAAAAATAATAATGTGATATAACAATTTTACTGAAATGGGACAACATCACTATAGCAACTAACCATTGTTTAGAAAACTACTAGATGAAAATGCAGTTCAATTTCATTGGCAGACTATTTTATGGGGAATAATGCATATTCACATAAAAACTTATCATACACACACCATCTAATGTAACAGAAATTTATAACAACTTCCACAAAGTAGACAATTAATAAAATCAGTTACAAGAAGCCATTTTAATATTGAAAATTGTACGATAAATTCACTCAAGATCATGTTTATATAAAAATCTTATATTTATATTTTTCTCAAACAGTTTCTTCTCATATGCGGTATTCAGGGAATTGATGAATACAATCTTATAGCTACAATAATTTTTACTGATGCTGGTGATGTTAATGAAACACAAATATAATATATTTCCAGACTAACAACAAAATTAATTACCACCTAATTAGCATGATTCCATTAAATAAATTGTTCCTTTAATCTATCATTCAACAGTAAGTCTTGAAAATTGTTTGCCTGACATATTTTGGATTTCAATTTTTTAATTTCTTAAGTACACCTGATTTTTGTTAATAAGCCTTCCAAATGGTTTCCACCAGTGGTAACTAGTTTTTACCAGTGCCTAAATTCAAATAAAATTAACAAAATATTCAGAACCATGTTTCTTTTTAATCTTTTTCCCAACCAATGTTTTAATGAAAGCCTTTGTGTACCATATCCGACATGGTGATAGTACACTTTCATAAAAAAATGATGCAATTCTTACAATATAATGCTGGTCTTATTTATACAGGTACATAGAATAAATTGTTTAATTAACCATGTGTTTATACTTATCAATTATCAATGTCCATTCTGCTGACATTACATACCAATTATACTGCCTATAAATGTGACATGAAATTCAATTAAACTTGCAGAGCCTGTAAACGGAAAATATCGTAAAAACTGTCAATGTTTATTTTTCGTGTGTCCTTTGTCAAAGGTAAAATCATACATACACTGGTAAAACAATATCAAGATAATAAAAACATATCAGCATTATATAAATTGGTCACACTAGATCGATATAATATTTGGAACAATAAAAATACAGTATTGTAATAATAATAATAATATAAGAATTTATAAAGCATCAATTAAACAACCTAAATGCATTATCAAAGACGCTGTGCACGTTGAAAAAGGTGAGTTTTAAGTAATTTTTTTAATGAAGCAACAGAAGAACAGTTTTTAATATGTGCAGGGAGTGAATTCCAACGTGTAGGTGCAGCAAAGGAAAAAGATTTATGGCCAATAGTTCTTAAGGATGTGCAGGGAACAGAGAGCCAAAAAATATCAGATGATCTTTATGGTGCGTCCAGGAACATAAATGTGGGTAAGTTGATGTATATAGATAGGTTGCTTAAATAGAAGTGCTTTAAAAGTAAGTAGCAAGATTTTGAAATTAATGTGGGAACCAATGGGAAGCCAATGGAAGTCTCGAAGAACAGGGGTGACGTGAGATCAACGTTTTGTGAATAATTTGTGCAGCAGAGTTTTGAAGCTTCTGGGGTCTGTAAATTTGAGAAGTGCGTAAAAACATAATTGTAGTAATCAAAATGGGATGAGACAAAAGCATGAATAATGGAAGAGGCAGTGTGTCGATAAAGAAAGCGTCGATATTCAAATCCCTTTTTAGAATGTTTGTGTAACAGCACAATAAATTGGAGAGGAAATCAAATGAACAAATACAAGGACTATTTAACAGCAAAAGTTATGCCATAGCCGTATGAGGCTTATTGCCAAGCTAGGTTCCCGGAAAATAAGTTTGGGAAGCATTCCTGATGATGACATAATTAATGTCGAAATACTGAATCCCAACACGATGGCGTGTATTTCAATACTTGGAGTATGTATTATACTTTCTTATCTGGGAAGCAGTGAGGTATTCATATATTTTTCCCTGGATTTCATTTTCCTAATGTTGATCTAACTGTACCAAAGGAGTTTTTTTATTTGCTTATTTGATAGTTATATTATTTGACCTTATTTATCAGATTACTATTTGTTTAATTTTGCTTAAGATTGTTAAAGATCTTTTTTACCATTTAGTCTCTTGTCAGGCGCAGATCCACAGATGTATGAAAGAAGGCAGCCAAAAGTGGGGCTTTCGAGATAACAGTACCCTAGGTGTCCAGAGGCATGCCCCCGCGATATTTCGGTTTTCTGAGCTATTATTTTTTTTTTCTTTCTTTTATTTTATTTTCCAAAAATGGGGGAGGGGGGGGCAAATTCGCTTGTGCTTGTGCACTATGTAAGACCGCACCACAGACTGAGTGCCAACAATACAAGTGTAGAGTCAGCTAAAAAATAATAACAGTGCTGCAATTTATGATTACTGTCTACAAGATAATGTTTTTAAGATAAAGTTTTTAAGACAGAGAATTGGATATATAAAACTTACACTGTTAAAGCAAAAAAGGATTAGTTGCTTGGTTGGTAGGTTGCATCTGCATTGAAGGCTGGCCCATTGGTATTAATGGAGGTGGCAGGCCGGTTGAGGCACCCATCATCACTGGTTGTTGTGGCATTCCAAAGGCAGGTGCAGGTGCAGTCATCATTGGTTGAGCTCTCATCTGGTTAAGTGTTGGTCTAGGGGCCTGTTGTTGTTGAAAGGGGTTACTAACAGGGGCTGCCACAGATGGAGCTGCACCAAACACAAATGGGTTTCTGACTTCCGCTGTTGGGTTTGACCTCTCAGTTTTACCTACTATTAATGAGTCCAAGTTCACAAGACTTGAATTCTCTCCCAGAAAGTCTTCTGGCTTCTTCTGGGTCTTGGCTACAGAGGATTTGGATGGGTTCAACATTTGCTGTGGTTGAGGAACAGCATCATTTAAAAGACTCATATCAAAAGCCCCTACAGGTTGTGCTTGTGGTACAGTATTCGACCTCAAAAGGTCAAACTCATGATCAGGATCACTTGCAGTTGGAGTGCTGTTAAATCCCCAATCAACCTGACTTCCAGGTGGAACAGAAGATGATTGGGTAGCTGCTGCAGGTGTAACCATACCCCATGGATCATTTTGAATAGGCACAGGTGCAGGTGTTTTGCTCCAGGGATCATTGGCTGCTACATTTGGTTTAGCTGGTGCTGGTGCTGGTACTGCCCAGGGATCAGGCATAGCTGGCTTCGATGTAGCTCCCCATGGTTCTATGGCATGCTGTGAGCTAGGTGCAGGTGGTGCTCCCCACGGATCACTTGCAACTGCAGTTGTTCCAGTTGTTGGCATTCCCCATGGATCTGGCTTAACCGGTGCTGGAGCTGGCTCAGCCAGGTTTAGAAGCGTAGGCTGTGTAGGCTGTGTAGGCTGTGTTTTGGTCTGGGAAAAAAAATTTTAAAAATGTAATATCTATAGATTTATAAAAAAAATTGAATAACTGTTGCACAAAGTCTGGTATGATATCTTTAAAACTATCATTTCACTGTCATTTAAACCTGCATTTACTGTACTACAATTGTCTGGGAGCAACTTAAAGCAGTTCATGTCCTTTAAATGTTCATAGTAACTGCAAATGGTTACGTGAAAAGTTACAAAAATGAAGCAGTTATCGAAAATTCTTACCCAAAAAACAAACATAGTTAGGACTTGCACTCTCTTCTTGTTAATATCATGTAAGGCACCTACACTAGTTAACCATTATTATTGACCTTAGACAGTACATGTTTTGTTTCTATTTTGGCAGACATTCCTCACATTGTCATTGAGTGACATTGATGTCACTTATCAAGTGCCCAAGAAGCTGAGAAGTATGTACTTGACATGGTGGGTTCCATTTACAACATTTCTTGTGCTGCCATTTTTAATTTTTAATAATAAAATTTACCAAAAAAATAAACATGTTTACACTTGGTTTTTGTGATTCCTCTTTGTTCTCTACCTGTTGTTTTGACGCTGCGCCTTGAGCACCAATTTTGGGGGTGATGTTTGCGCTTTAAAAATTGTTATTATTATTTATGTGTAATTTTTAACACTGAATTCTATTTAAGCTTTTTTATATTCATTTTATTTTGTTTGTCTTGCCTTGTTTATAAATATGTACAAGAAGACAATGAAACTTGTAAAAAGACCCTTTAGGGTGCAAGAAGTTGAAAAAAGTATAGTACAGTATGTTCACTAATAATCATGTTTGGTGGATACTGGCATACAAATATCCACTAATTATTTTTTTTCCACTATATTTTTAGGGGCCTGGATCTCCTGTCCTAGTCCCAGGATCTGCCCCTGACAGTGATACTGTAGGTAAACTTTAGACAAAAGTGTGTTAATAATAATCTTATTATATCAACTCAATGGATTCTGACAGTATTGCTTTGGTTAGTATTAAAAGTTATGTGGTTGGTAACTTCACAAATTTTTATTGCTATTCATTGATCGAGTTGCTACTCCACATATCAAGTGCCCTGAGCATCTTACATTAGATGGATATGTGCGCTATATAAAAACTACAATATTATTATTATTATATTATTATTTTCCACATTGCCAAATGAGAATCAGAACTATTTTTGTTTTCTAATTTACAGGGTTATAGCAGAGGATATTTTACAATAAGAAAATTCCTAGCAAATGCTTTCTTCAACAACAATAATAATCCCATGTTATAGTTACATGGATTCTAAAGGGTATCAAAGTTCAAATGTTGTAGTCTGAATCAATTTTCCAAACAAATTTCTAACAATTAAAAAGGCTGTGGCCTACATCAAAATTTCATCATTAGATCACATCCAAAATTACTAAGAAGATTACATGCAGTACATACCTCTTCTAGACTCTCGTTGAGGGCCATCTGCAACCGAATGTCATCACTGCGTGTCTGTTTGGTTTGTTGTTCTGCCTCCTCTCGTGACATGGCTAGCGCGAGTTGTAGCTGAAGGTCTTCTTCTCCTGCAGTTGCCGGGCGTGCTTGCTCGATCTCCGAGTGAGCCGGCCTGGTATGACTATCTCCTGCTGAGAGGAAAAGCCTTAAATGCTGACAAAATCAATTGAGCAACTGTTTGTGTGTATTTGACATTTAATGGTATAATCAGACATTTTAAATAAATGTAGAACATATTATTTATTGTTGAAATTATGAGACAAATCTAGTAATGTTTCTGCAGTCTGCCAGTTTTTCTACTACTACACTGCTACTGAGTCTTACAATGATACTTGTGTTAAATGTTTTTTTAAAAAATGTTAATATTTTAATATTTATAATACTTTTATCTTTTTATTAAATGTAATTTCATCCCAGTTGCCCACAATTCAATTTTTATTGCCAAGCTTCTTTGTTTGAATTTGTATATATTTTATAAATTTTTGTATGTACTTTTTAAAAATATATATACCTGAAATAATACATTATTATTTTATCTGATTTATTATACGTTAGTAAAACTCATATCATAAGTAACAAATTCAGTACGTAATTTATCATAAATTCTTGGTTGAAATTATGAATCAAATGGTAAAATAATGTTAGAGCATCAATGAAAAAGAAAACTGTAGATCATGCAGTGTCTGAGCGACACTGTAGCAACAAGACCATATAATGTTTGGGATATTTATTTTTTCATTAAGAAAGTAAGTATATTCTCTAGTATCTAGATGCAGTGTTCTCCCAACTGAAAAATTTTTACTGGTAAATTTGTCCATAAAAAATTGCAATGCGCACAATGTGAGGTACGTTACCCCTTTTTAGTTGGGTTAAATGACTTGAAGACACAACAACACATATTCATAGTGTAGATATAGACTGGAATGATGTTAATTTATTAAAAGGGCCAGTCTGGACTACCTAAGCCTAATCAATAGTTTTTTTTATTTTACAAACTCAAAATTTTTACTGGTTGGTTGGTTATTTTTACCGGTAAAATTGACGGCTAAGACGGCTTTGGGAGAACACTGAGATGAGTTATAGTATGCATTTTAAAGTGCAGAAAATTAAACCAGAAATATATTTAGAATGACTAAATATCATTTCTGAACTGGTAAAATAATTAAAATTTAGCAAAAGGTCAAGACCAAAGGCATACAGTAGACAAGAATATCTTGGCAACCTGTGGTTTGCAAGTTGGTTTTTATGTCGATATTATGTTAAAAGCATTCAGTTAAGTTAATAAGAATTGCTGGAAAGGCTCTTAATGACCCTTGACACATATTACAAGCCTACATGATAATCTCTATACATACAGTACTACTGTATACAGACATGTTCTGAAAAACAGTTAATAATTTTAAATTAAGTACTTTACACAGAGATATACTGTATAAATGTACATTGGTATATAACACTCTAGACATTAAAGTCTCAGAGCGCTTTTCACATTACAGTATTACTGTACCCCGGTCATCGGAGTGATGCCTACAGTAGGTCTACAGTATGAGGGAATTCCCTACTGCACTGTAGTTTGCTATGGATGTGATAATTTATGGTACCAACCATTGGTGCTTGAGATTATAGATCTTATAGATCTTGGTGAAAAAGGTTAAACTTTGATCTCTTGTAAAAAAAAAAACACATGTGTCCAGCACCAATATTTCTTGGAAAAGTGTGATATTTAAAACCTATGAACCAAACATAAAAAAATAAATGAAATATTTAAAGTACTTTGAGCAGAATATTTAAAAAAATATTATTACCATACTGCTTAGTAGAGTCACCGTCCGCACATGTGGTTGGCCGCTTTTAATACCATGTGCTGCCCCTTACAAATTTATAATATAAACAAACAATAATTCTACCGGAGATAATTTTTCTTTACGCAACTTCTGAGATACTGTAATTGTTCAGTTCAGCATTGGATTATTAAGAAGATCCCCAAATTATCACTCACACATGTTATACCTCTCAACAGAATTTTGGCGTGGGCCACTATTCAATCAGTTACTAGTACTGCATGATAGGCTTAGGTAACTTTATACTTATTCACTACCTTAAATTTATGGGGCATGGGGTAATCATAATTCGTAATTGTAATAAATTATAATTACATTTTAATGTAATTGGGTGTAATTTGTTTTATTGGGTTAAAAAATGTATTTGTTATCTGTAAATTTAATTTCAAATTTACAATTGTAACCATTTGATTACATACATTTCAAAAACTGTTTGTTTATCAAATCCTCAAAGCAAGATACACTGTTTCTTTTCAGAAATAACTGACAATCCCACAAAAGTAAAACAGAAAATAGATATTCCTTGTTTTAAACTAAGTACAGTGGTTGAGTTTAGAGAGAATGATATTACAAAAATAATTAACAACATTGAATTTTTGGCCATCACACATTTTTTGTCCCTAGTTATGGATAATCCAAATACGGTAGGAAAGCTGCCTACTTTAATTTGGAGGCTAAGACCAGGGTCATTTCCTGGCAGCAATGTGCTTTACTTCCTATATAACACAGCAACAGTGCAAAAATCGATCTTATACTCTGTACTGAAAGCAGGAAAATGCCCTTGAGGGCAGCAGACCAAAATAGCCTTTCAGAGTACTGATATCAAACACAGGATTGCTTTTGTGTGTTTCTTGCTCTAATAAAATTAGGAGTGCGCTATAAAGGGCGAGATTTCAGGGGACTTTAGTGGCCCTGTTTGCATCGCTCGTTCTGCGCTCCCACTATTAACGTGAGAAATAAATGGCAAGGAAAGGTTCAATTACTTAACTAGTGTTCTCCTTGCTTTGTAATCTTTGTGATCCTTCGTAAACCTTAGCCCAGGCAGCCTAGAAATTGTAGTGTAGTTCGCGGGTCAAAGACTCTAGTGCATACCTAAACAGATCGCAGATATGCAGGGCCTAGGCCTAACATTTGTTGAAAAATCTCAATATTTGGACCAGTATCCTTTAGAGCATTAGCAAACCAATAATGCAAAAATGTCAAGTTCAACTCCCAATCAATTTGGTGTTAGTTTACTGACGTTAGAAACCAAGATTACTGTATTCATCATCGTCTACGTGCCATACGGCACAGGGTACTGCAGTACAGTAAAGGCCTACTATAGCTACAGACATGTTTGTCCTTGATATATGAAGAAGATTTGCCGTGGTTATCCCTAATTCCATTGGATGACCAGTCACACAAAGTTTGTGTGGTGAATTTTGGGACATCAACAATCAACTCAAGAGTAATCTAAATCATGTTTAAAAGCACAAGTGTGATGATCTTTACAGCAATAACAAGAGACAGCCGTCATAGCAATCTCCATGTAAATACTGCTGTGCCAGTCCATTGTTTACATCCAACACCCAAATTAGGTCAGTGACGCCTGTCACCTAAATGGTCTGGATTAAAGTATTCTTGTACTTAAACATTTATTAAACTAAAAAATGATTAAATACAAGAATTAAAATATGCTTGTATTTAATCATTTTGTCACTGATCCAACAAAAATACTGAAAATTGAGATTGCATTTTACTGTCACTGATCCAACAAACTAAAATATCAGATTTTTTATTAAATCTGACTGACCCACAATTCAAATTGTCAGAAATTGGGATAACACCTTCGTAAATTCTAATAAAAACGTCCTACCTCCGTTTGATGTTGGTGATGAGCTGCTACTAGACTCTGTTCCAGCTACACTCGGTTTTGTGTCACTACCGATACCTTGTGAAGACTGCGCAAAACGCTCTTTTGCCTTCAGGGCACGCGTCCTCTCAGACTTAAGTCTCTCATCATCCTTCAAAAGTGCAACAAGATTCTTCGACTTTTCTCTTACATTCATTCCCTGGTCTTTACCGTCACGGTCCAGAAACTGAAAATCCTTCAATGTATTGATGGCAAAGATGTTCTCTTTGCACTGCTGCGCAACGCGTTCAGACCCCGTCTTGATGATGTACTCCAGCACAACCAATGACTTATAAACGTGGCGCCAATTTTTGCCGTGGTCGCTTAACCGCTTCCATAATAAAGTCATTATTTCTGTAAAAGCCACAACGTTGTACGACAAATCAGCAATTTCTGACATGACAGAGCTCGATGGACCCCAGGGGTCATTTGATGTGGCCTCTCGAACTTTCACTTGCGCAGGTGAATAGTTTTTGGCCACATTTTTTATTGATCTCATAGTTGCCATGGTTACACTGGAGTTGCTTTAGGAATGCTTTTCTAAAATTACAGTAGATGTCTTGAAATGTTTAAACCTGAAATTATATAAATATAAATAAAATAGAGTAAAGTTCTATGGTACTATGTCAGAAAGTCTTATAACCAAAAGGAGGAAGGAAATGCCTACCATGTATTGAGAAGTATGAAACAGCATTTTTCATACTAGGCTACTGTCCAACTACTCTAACACCAATTTCTGTATCCACATAAAGAGTAGAAGGCTGCTTATACCTTATTCAGACTACAATCAGTGGTGGATCCAGGAATTCAAAATAAAGGGGGGGGGGCAGGAAGGGACTTTCACAGGCGGAGGGTCTAAAGCACATCAGCCCCAGTAAGGTCAGCATTCTCAGACCTAAATTTAATTATAATTTTACTTTTTTCTCCATTTTTTTTATAATGTTAAAACATTGTAGGGGATGCCGGGCCGGCTCACCCAATCCCTCTTGAATCCGCCAATGAAACTCCATTGTGACCGGTTGCTATGTAGCCCGTGGTATCCAAAACTGATTACTCCCGTCGCAATCAATGAGCACATGCAAACACAAAAAACTTTATATTGGAACGCGAGGTCAAACGGTAGGCCTACAATATTAGGCCTCTGGTGGCTAGACCTACCTTGACTGGCCTCGGCCAAAACAAATTCCTGTATACAAGAATAGATGAATATACTGTAATAAGTATTTGAGTACAGTATCACATTTAATTAGAATCACTTAATTAGAATGGCCTAGCCTAGGCCTAGCTGGGTATGTCTTTCAGAAGTAAAGGCCTACGGTAGGTAGACACGACATGATGCACGACATCACACACTTTAATTAGTGTCAACCCAGTTCAGCCAAGCATGTTTTTGTCAACAAAGGCCTTAAGAAAATATTCATATAAAATGCTTTTTGATTGGTTGAAACATTTTCTTCTGGTCAGTCAGGTCACTCAGGGGTCGAAGTAGTATACCATTTTGATTTTTTTCGAAATCGGTCAACATTTATTAAGTTATCAACTTTTGCAAATTTCTCTAAAATTCGTCGTTTTTTCCAGAGAATTGTGAGTAATATGAATGAATGTATTATACGAGGCGTAGCAATTTTTTTTTTTGGCATAGCAAAATCGATGATCGGCTATAAATCGGCCGTCATGTACACATTGTCGCGAGGTAAACCATAACGATCTTAATGAAAGTGCTGCATATAAACGGCAAATTTTTGATGTAAATAAATGTGTTTAAAAAGTTAACAAATGATACTTACAGATTAATTCTGGTAATAATTTTGTCATATATATATTTATGTATAGTTTTTATTATATTATAGTTTGCGAAATTTTATACACCATTAAATAAAGCCCGTCACAAATTGCGCCAACATTTTTCCAGACAATGCAATTACACTGAGAATACGACAAGGCTTGCAAGCACAAGACTTTTTTTTATGACATATTTTTATTTATTTATTTCTTTGAATTTATTTATTTATATATTTTCATTTTTTTCCCGAATTTCAATTTCGGAATCGTGGGTCAAAGGTCATTTGAAAAATTCATAAATTTTCGGATCATTGTGTATTAAAGCTACATCATACATAACCAATATAATTTGCAGTAAAAATTTACAATCAAAATGTACACTGTTTTTTAGAATTAAAAAAAATTTACAGAAATATATGGCAAAAAGTGACAGAAATATTATTGTTAACATGCAACTTGCTATTCACGCGCTCAGAAACTTCAAATAAACCGTAACCAGTGGCTCACTTTTCCTCAAATAAAGTTTTTTATGATACTGAGAATGAGTAGTTTTTTTGTGATATTTTTGGGGATTTTTTTTTATAGTAAAACTTTGTATTTATCATGTGGTGCATAGCCTAGGAGGGTACCTAGGCCTACACTAGGGTTAATTTTATTTTGTATAAATTATATTATTATTATTATTAATATTATTACTTATTATTGGTGATCCGCTACACTAGCGGATCACCTCTTGTTATTATCAGGATCATCATCATCATCTTCTTTTTTTTCTCATACTTCTTTCTTTCTCCCCTTTTCTGTTCGCACGATATCTCAAAAAATGCCACGAGTTACGCACAATCGCTGTCAACTTCCTTCCAACTTTGAGTATGTTATAGCTGAGACAATTCTCTTTCATATATTTGACTTCTTTTTACATTTTGATGACGTCATCATGGTCAAAAAATTGTTTTTTCTGACCCCCCCACATCTTTCTTTCCTCAAAACGTTGATGAGCCCATATCATCTTAACCATTCGTCATTTCTGAATCATATTAAGTGAGCATAATCTTCAGGTCAAGGTTGAATGTCAGGTACCTTAATTTTCCGTTCGCGCGACTTAACGTGTGCGTACGCATGTGTCAACATTTATATATGCATAAAAAGTTGAATATTTTTAATCAGTTATAGCTCCTTAGGATGAAAGGTGACCCCCAATTTTTATTACATATTCTGAAAGCACATGAGTTGTGGATACGAATTTATAGATCATATTGGCTGATAGGACATTGTGACGTCATCATATTGCCATTTGAATTAAGAAAAAACTGAATTTTTATTTATGACGTTGTTACTTTTTATACTCGTTTGAACGTATCTCGCTTATCTTGATTGATTGTCTCCCACCTGTGAGTATGTTATAGCTAAATCAATTCTCTTTCGGACGTGTCCCTTTATTTTTCATCTTGATCACGTTAGCATGGTCAAAAAGAATGAATTTTTAGAGCATTCTTATCTCTCATTCTTGAAAGATGTAAAAATAGAACATAGAGAGGGCGGCAGACTGTATTTCGACGCTATCAGACTTTAACAGTATAGGTTATATGAAGGGAAAATTTAAACGTTTCGGGTCATTTTCTTCATTCCAAAACTTTCCATAATTTACGCGCCGTACGCTCTTTCCACGCCCACAGCTCGTACGGAAGCTGGAAATTACGTTTCGGTTACATGTTTTGGGTTTGTGACACTGAATTAATAACATTACCGTGCGCACGGACGTAAAGACGTTTGTGTACACATTCGTAAGTCCTTAAAATGCTCAAAACTACTCTTTTCCTTTAAAATTCCTTTTAAAATTCTCAAAATTACTCTTTAAATAGAGCATGTTTTAGCATATAATACTTTTCAATCAGAACCGTGCGTGCTTCGTGAGGGTCAAAGTACGGCGGATCACCAAACTCGTCCTCAGTGACGAGTTTAAATCTAGTTATTATATTGTTTTAATATGATCACATCAGTTTAATTTACGACACACCAAATAAGCTAGGAATGGTTTATGCCTAGGCCTAGCACAGGCATAAGCCATAATCACCTTGTAGAGTCTCGTACAGGTTAGCCTTGGCCTTTGTATTAAGGCTATAGCTAGGCCTAACTACCAGCAATTGGTATCTACTATCTTACGCCTCTGTCACAGACTGGTACAGTGTCAGTGGCAGTGAAAATGTAGGCTAGGTCTTGGCTAAGCTACGTGATGACGGTCGATTCAAACCAAACTAAAACTAGACGGTGCGTCTATTATTGACGTAATATTAAACTAAAGAGATATCAACTGTTAACAGTATATTATTAACGGTTAATGTAAATACCTTACCAAGTTTTCGTCAGCAGAGTACCTACCCCGGCACTTAGCCGCCACTTGAACACTGAAAACCGGAACTTTTTAGTACGCTTCCTGTTTTGTATCCCACTATGCCCATCGCTCATACGTCGTGGTCGCCGAGAGCTCCTATCTTCTAAACAATAAACTGCTATAACTGTTCCCTCCTGTAGCTTAATTTTTTTTTTCCATTACACCGCCCTCAAGTAAGCTGATATCGTTAACGTTATTAAATTGTTAAATTGATATTCTTTCTATTTTGAGTTTTTGTACTGGTATTGTATGATTATGATTATTATTATTATGATTATGATTATGATTACTATTATTATTATTATTATCATTGTTATTATTATTATTATTATTATTATTATTATTATTATTATTAATATTATTATTATTTTGTTTCCCTTTATTTCATTCTTGATAGTCTTTTTTAAAATTCTTCTATAAGTCAAAGACTTAATAGACCTAATAATTTGTGACGATTTGCATGATTCTATCAATTAAGTTTAGATATATCATTTCTTAGGCAACAAAACTAAATATTTGGCATATATGTTCATTTTGGTAATATCATAAAGATTTTCAAGGAGTAGGCCTAAATGATGTATAGTTTCTATCTCATTTGTCTTTAACATGGCCTCTGTATACATTTTAACCATTAGGCATACAGATTATTGTCCTCTCTCTAAATCTAAATTGGTTGTTAAAAACATTGTATTATAATTCCTAGACTTTTAGAATGCTCTTGTTGGTCCTATTATTGAGCATGGGGTTCCTTCTTGGCTACCATTCAACCGGGGTCACCTTCAGAAATCAGGAAATATCCAACAAGTATGTCAAGAGCCTGTTGTCCTATTAAATGTTCCGTCAAAGTTAAGACTGGCAGCCTCATGCGCAGCATGTTTGGGGCTTATTTCTCTGTCAAGGATCGTTTGTTATCGAGACTCCCTCCATCTGTGAATGTCCCTTCTTAGGCCCACTTTATTTGGAACTCCTGGATCCGCCACTGGCCAAATGCCTTTGGAGGAAATATGCAATTAATATCTTTAATTTTATTAAAGTAAACTGTCAGCCCTCCAATGATCTCGTTTATATTCACCAATCCAGAACTAATCCATTCTGTTTCTAACCATTGCATGCCCTGCGATCTCAGGAACAACCTTTTGTTTGATTTTAATTCATTCCGCAAATCTCTTAAGCTTGCATGTTTCAATTTGACCTTTACTCAATTTTTAACTTATATATAGAAAAACATTTTTCTATCTATCTATCTATATATATATAAATATATATATATATAGTACCGGTATATATATACTGTATATACAGTATATGTATATAGGATG